GTGTGTGTGTGTGTGTGTGTGTGTGTGTGTGTGTGTGTGTGTGTGTGTGGGTGGGTGGGTGTTTCTGTTGGTCTCTCTCCTCACCACTGGCTGTCTCTCCTCTCTCTGCAGGGCGGCAACAACGCAGGACACACGGTGGTGGTGGACTCGGTGGAGTACGACTTCCACCTCCTCCCCAGCGGCATCATCAACCCCAAGGTCACCGCCTTCATTGGTGTGTAATGCAGAAACACTTTAAATTCACACTCGACATTTGTGCCATCTACACACACACTTAAGTGGCACACACACACCATTTGCTCATACGCAACTACACACAGACGCTCATTCCAAGGCCACCTTTCCTCGCTGTTTTCCTGATGAATTGATCGAGGCTCTTTTTAGCCCGGCGCTCGTCATCGCCGGCTACAGCGAGTGTGATCAGCTTGACTCAGAGCCAGACTGCATCACATTCACTCATCTGCAGTAACTTCATTAGCTAATGATATCTTTTCTTTCTGGCTTCCAACTCTCTCTCTCTCTCCCCCTACACACACACACACACGCACACATCTGCACTTTAACATGCAGCCGTGCGGTCTGTCAATGCTTAATCACATTTATGCTTTTACTTCTTTGATATGTGACACATTACATTCTCCATTGGCTCGAACGCTCAGGAAGACATCACTGGTGTCTCACAGCAGGTTGCACTTTGCCCCACCAAAAGAAATAGGAAAAATATTCCAAAAACATTACATTGCAGCCATTTATATTGTTTTTCTTTACGTGAGCTGTTCTTGTCAAAATGCAGCCATTAACATCGGTAGCAGACACCATGTACAGCATTTTCATAACAATACATTCAATTTGGTGGAAGCATTTACCCAAAAGTCCCCAACTGTACTATAGTTGTGTACTTCAGCGCTGTCCGTGAGGGCACCGACTCTCTCAGGTAATTCAAGCTCTGCAGATTGAGCTTTCCAGGAGGGAAACACTGTAAAATGCACCGACTGAGCTGAGGTGATCATATGTGTGTTCCTCCGTGGATGTGTTCTGATTATTTTTAAATGGACAGCAGGCTGGTTTGTCATTTTCCTCTCACTGCAGTAAAAGCTGCGTCAGGATTATTCGACACTGAATGGAGACCAGATTGGAAAAATAGAGATTCACCATCTCTTTATTGGAGATTCACCATCTTTTTTTTTATGTATGTGGATGTTTATAGCCATGCTCGTGGCATGTTTTTATGGACGTAATCTCGGTCCGTCAGTTTGTCTGTAACTTTGACCCAGACTGAAATATCTTAGCAGCAGGATTGCCGTACATTTCAGTTCAGACATTCATAGTCTCCAGATGATGAACCCTAATGATTTTAAGGATCGGTTGATATTTTCCCCAGCACAACGGTTCGATGGATTGTCGTGAAAGTTGTTGCAAACGTTCATGTCCCCGTCAGGATGAAATGAAATTATTTTGATCGTCCCGTAATTTCATCTAGCGCCATCATGAGGACGAAATTGTCCAATACTTTATGACTAAATACTTGCAGTAATGTTAGCATGTTGTGAATATGGTGAACATTACCTGCGTGGCTGTCTTGTTCTTATTTAAACTCATGTTAAATGCATAAAACAGACAATGAGCCAATCAGCTTGTCGGGAACAACAGCTGTCTGAATTCACTCACTCAGTTTGCTGTATTCAGTTTCCATAAAGCAACTGATAACTTGGCCCAAATCTGACCAGTGTCTTGTTAATACACTACAAAATAAAACGTTAACCTCAAATAAAGCTCGTACTGCTCTCTTAGCTTGAGCTCAAGTCAGTTATTTTGACATCTTGTCGTTTTGCACAGAAAATCTAGATTTCTCTTTCAGCAACAGCTAATCATTCGGTATTATTGGTGTTGCCGTGTCACACCGTTACACAGGAGGGGAGACAGACATCGATCATTTATAATTGTTTCATTGTCCCAGAGTGGAAAACATGTTGCCTTTTGTTACACCATCATTCTCCTCCTCCTCCTGTGTAATTCAATTAATTCATTGTAATTAAAAGCACATTCATGGCCTCCAGCACTGGGAGCAAATCTGTGTGCAGGTCTTTTGTGTCCCTGAGCGGCAAATGCCTTTTATCTCACACATTTATTCCTAAATAAACACTAAAAGAAAGGTGTTTCTTTCTGTTAGTTTGTTGTTGTTTTTTAGCCCTTTTTCTACATTTCTTACATTTAATTTATTCAAAGTAGTTACCTTACCACCTCCAGTTAATGCAACCCAATTAAAGAGATAATTCGGGCCATCTGTTTGAATTCTCCTGTGAACAGGCATCGCTTGTACCAGCTATCTGTCAGAAATACATCACTTAACATCACAGTTAGGCTGTCGGTTCACACCCGGGGCTGCTTTCACAATGACACACATTACTCTCTAGTTTAGATGTAACTTATAATTGGACTTCAGATGGATGATTAAAGGTGCCTTTTAGACTGTGCAGCAACAGTCAACGTTTATTGCTCATAAACACTGTGCAAGATGCAGTGGTGGAATCTCACAAAGTACATTTACCCAAGTGCTGTACTGAAGTACAATTTTGAGGTACTTCACTTGAGTCTTTGCATTTTATGCTACTCTATACTTCAACTCCACTGCATTTATTAATGAGCTGTCCAGTATTTTCCTCTGTTGCATTGATGGTGTAACATCACCTACTGTAGGCTATAATAGTCACGTGACGCCCTCTTGACTGTCTCTCATATTCGACTATTCTCTCTTTATTATCTGTCACAGCTGAACTTCCTCCAATACCTCCGAACTGATGCTGAACTTGATTCTGTCCGCTGATCAGGACTTGAAGCTCCGCCGTGTGAAATTCTTCTCTCTTTTTTTTTTTTTTTTTACTCTTAAGTCTCTTTTTGTGAAGCGGAACGAGTAGATTTACTGTGCATGCTGATGTGGATTATGCAAATTATGAAATCCCACGCACCTCCTCGTGAAGAGGTGGCGTTCATCAGGCTGAAATGAGCGATTCTTACATCTAGTTTTTTAAAGTTTGGTGAATCCGACTTGAAACACTCGTATGAGCAAACCTCACAAAGTAAGAGAGGTTTAGGAGGAGAATACAGGAACGAGGATACTCAGATTAGAATAATAATATTCAGTTTATTCATGCTAAATATAAATCAACTGATACATGATGATGTATTATTATGAATTAAGCTCCCCAGCAGTATATAAAGTAGTAGAACGGCCATTACCAGCTGCGACATAAGTGATGCTTACACATTAATGTACCAACAATTACAGTCCAGTGATATTCCCTATATTAATCTGAAATGGGCCATTCTGCATTATGATGACTTCTCCTGTTGTCTCTTTAAGGTATGTTTTGATGCTTATACTTCTCTGTTATAGAATAAATATAAAATAAAGTTTTGAATGCAGGACTTTTACTTGTAACAGAGTAATTTTGTACTATAACATTAATACTTTTATTTAAGTATAAAGAAACTTATGAGGAATGTACTTCTTCCTCTGACGATTTTACTTCCTCTAAAAAGTGTTTTGGGGAAAAACCCTCTTTGTTCAAATTGTTTATAACTCATTGATTCATGTGGATAATCCGTGAGGAGAATTTCTTAAGTAGACGTGTAGATCTATTTGAGTTGATGCTTCAGGCTCAAGAACAGTGATCATGACTTTATATGAACAGGTGTGTTCTTTGCACACATCCATCAAACTCTTAAACGGCAGCTGTGGCTCGGGAGCTACAGCGCGTCGTCCTTTAGTCACGAGGTTGGCGCCCCCCCCCCCCCCCCCCCCCCTCTGTTCCTGGTCTCATGTCAAAGTGTGGTTGAGCGGGGACTCTGATCTCCAAGTCGCAGCTCTTTCGTGTGAATGAGATACAAACTGTAAAAGTGAGTCCATTTATCTTTTCACCTCAGGCAACGGTGTCGTGATCCACCTGCCAGGCCTGTTTGAAGAGGCAGAGAAGAACAAACGCAAAGGAAAAGGTGAGTTGTTCTTAAACACATACAGTAACAGAACAAGACTCTGCTTTCACATGTGAAGACTCAAACTGTGTGCGCGTGTGTGTGTGTGTGTAGGTCTTAATGACTGGGACAAAAGGCTGGTCATCTCAGACAGAGCACATATTGGTAAGTCCTCCATGTGTGAATGTTTGAATGTACAGTATGTGTGCATGCACAAGTGTGTGTGTGTGTGTGTGTGTGTGTGTGTGTGTGTGTGTGTGTGTGTGGGGATGTGTCAGCCCTGCTTTCTCTGAGGTGTGTGAGAGTGTGTGTCTCCTCTCTTCCTCCTCTGCAGTGTTTGACTTCCACCAAGCGGTTGATGGTGTTCAGGAACAGCAGAGAACAGAGCAAGTAGGCAAGAAGTAAGAAACCTGTTGCTTTAAAAAGACAAACACACACACACACACACTATATTCACTAACATGGAGGGAAAGATCAGATCAGCATCTTTGACTCATTTATCTTGAGGCTTATGAGTCACGGTCAACACGCAGATTAACATCCAATGTCAAATATTCAGTCCGTTTGTAAATAAAAAGATCACTTCATGCGTTCCTCAGCTTTAAATGTTTGGATTTTTAAAGTGTTCATTTCAACAGGGAGTCGTAATGTTTTCTCTCTTTTCGTGAGGTCCTTGTCCTTCCATCTGGATTATTTTGGAGATAAATCTTTATTGTTGACGCAGAGCCTTACTACAACAAAACTGATCCACATATTATACACTAAGTTGTTGCTAAATGTGATGTGCAAAAAATGTTATTGCAAATATAATATAATACATATTGTGTAAACTTTCACTTTTTAAACATGCCGTGAGGAGCGTCAGCCGTCCTCTGTAGACTTGTTTGCACTCTTAACTTAAACAAGACTGTGGTCCTCACTTACGAACCTTACAAGCTAACACAAACAAAGAGTTATAATCAATTTTATTATAATAACAATGTATCAAATGACAATGTAAAAGGATGATGAACCTACAGAGGTATATGAATCTGCTGCTCCCGTCACATTCACGGAGCTTTTTTTTAGCTGTCCGACCCGCAACTTTATTGTTTTGGTTCACTCTCACCGCTCTCTGTACGATATTCTGCTCAGCAGCACACAGCAGACAGACACAGTTCGAGACAAGCTGGTGAACATAGTGCAGCATTTAGTGGCTAAAGAGACAGATATTTCCGTCAGGAGTTGGTGGAGACCAAAAATGGAGCTAAAAGAGAGTAAATATTGGACATATTCGCCTGGTGGCCAGAAATAAATGCTCATGTTGCTTCGTAACAAGTGGACGTTTAAACAAATTCCCCACATAACTTAAAAGATGAAGATATGTCAATGCTGTGTTAACAGCATGTTTAAGTTGCTCGTACTTTTATCTTCACTTTCCATATGTGAAGAAATGTCTTTCCACAGTGCGTATAATCTCACCACTGCTCTGAGGCCTCAGAGGGGTCAGACAGGCGGGGGGTGTAGCAGCCCTGCAGCAGGTGGAGTTTATGAACAGTGTGACAGACAGACAGTAGCAGTGCTTCGTTAATAAACCAGCAGCTTCCTGTTAAGGGGTATACTTTTAGTCTCTTAACAAAGACACAAGTAGTCCATGTACAGTAGTAAATCCAGGTATTTGTGTTTTATTCCACACCCTTTTGAAACGACCGTATTCTAATAATAAATTAGCCCGGGCAGTGAACCACACCGACGTATGTGAGGAATGTTAAGCTGAGTCTGTGGTGCATTCACCATATCAAGCTCAAGAGAGATCCAGCGTATTCCTGTTCAGAGCTGGGTTGTCTTTATCAGCTCAGCCACCAAAGCCCCAAACACCCAGCCAGCCAGCCAGCTTTTGTGTGTGTGTGTGTGTGCGTGTGTGTGTGCGCGAGTGAGCGACAGAGTAAATGCATGTTCACAAGGGTACCTTAATGGCACGGTCATTATGAACTTTCAGCAGATTGCTACGACAGGCTGGTGGCTTTCCAGTCCCAGAGTCTGATCTGGTTTCTTAAAACTAGAATCACAAAGGGGAAACGTGCCGTCCTGTAGTTTCAATAAGATGCTAAAAACGAACGGCAAACTCAAAATAAGAAAAAAATGTGTTTCTTTATAAAACATCTGCACAAACAAAAGCAGTTGTAGAATTTCCTTAGTTAAAACGCATTGACGAACTGTAGCTTCAGTTTTATTCTGACGTAGAATATGTTACTTTTCATGCAATTTTAAAGATACACTGAATACCTTTTAGTCTGCACATGATGCGTGTGTGGATCCATCTTTTCTGTGACAAAGACAATGAACAATATTCATTTTAAATTTAAAATGTATTATTCATGGCTTATCTTGTTTCTTCATTACAATTTTAAATATAAGCAGCAACAAGCAGTGGTGGAAGTTAACTAGCTAAGTACGTTTATATATACTTAGATAATTTACATTTTGCAAAGTAAACTTAATAAATCCAAAAGTTTTCTTAGATAAACTTTAATCTTCTGAAAAAAGATTTAACTCTTTAACAGTCACATGAACTTCTTCTCGATGTAAGATTCAGTTATTTTGAAACAACTTACTGGGTCTGGAGGGATGCGATCACCTGCTGATGATGCTTCTGTTTCTCCCCCCCTCCCCCTCCCCCTCCCCCCGTCCCTCCTCTCTTGGTCCTGCCCAGCCTCGGGACAACAAAGAAGGGGATTGGTCCCGTGTACTCAGCCAAGGCAGCACGTAACGGTCTCAGGATATGTGACCTGTTGGCTGACTTCACTCAGTTCTCTGAAAGGTCTGTGCCAACAGTTCGGGATTATGTTTCCATCTGGGCTTTTTCATGAAAATCTGTATCAGTACATTTGCTCAGGGCGTCAAGGTCAACGCTCTCCAAAGACCGTTGAGGAATGTAATTGTTTGTTTGGTTCTAGTGAGTCGTGGAATGCAATCTAGGAAGTCCAATTTGAGAAGCAGATCCAAGAGTTTAAACGCTTATCAAACGCCAAAACACTGCTCGGCAGTGTGTAATACTGTGAGGCGGGAGTTTACAACTCTGCAAGATTTTCATTCCAGCAACTACTTTTATCTTTTGTTGCAACCATTGTAAGGTAAACGGTAGAAACACTGCCTCCACGTTACAAAGTAATTCAACGCTTGCATTTGATTGGCCAGAAGACGTCACGTTGTGGTACAACAGAAGTTGAGTCAGATTCTACTTTGTTGTGCCGGAGCCCTCTGCCGCGCTGCACTGGCCTCATTCAAATGAGCAGAGCTGATGTCGGTCTGAACGGGGGCCTAAATGTGGCTCCTGGGGTTTAGTTCCTGCTCCCTGAGGAACTATGGAGGTCAAACCAAACACTACTTCTGTATATAATAAAGAAAAATATATAAAATATATATATATATATATATATATATATATATATATATAAGAAATTTGTTGGAAATGAATCAAAACTGATCAATTTTGCTTGTTGCAGGTATAAAGCTTTGGCCCAGCAGTACAAGGACATGTACCCCACCCTGGTGATTGACATAGAGGGAGAGCTTGTCAGATTAAAGGTAGTTCGGATTAACATTCAAAACATATTTCTACAAACATTCATTCTTTCCTCTTTGCAGTAACATGCTGTGTGATTTTTAGGACTATGTGGAGCGGATCAAGCCCATGGTGAGAGACGGAGTGCACTTCATGTACGAGGCTCTTCACGGTCCTCCTAAGAACATCCTGGTGGAAGGAGCCAACGCAGCTCTGCTGGACATCGACTTCGGTCAGTACATCGCTGTGTGTGCATGTGTGAGCGTGCATGTGCACCACAATTATTAAGCCCGCCTTACTCTTAACTTCTGTATATTTACCAATTATCATTTTTGAAAGTACGCCAACGTCTTTGTGCTAACCCTTTCCTCTGGAAAAAAACAATGTAATTTCTAATTGCCAAGCGCTGCCCGCTGCATCTACAGTGACCCGGTGATGTTGCCCTGAAACACTTAAGCTTTGTGATGCTCTTTACAAAAGCCTGCTCGGAGCTCACACTAGGGATGATGGTAAGTTTACTAACCGCTCTAGGCATCCAGGCTTTGACGTGCATGCTCACAGTTCAACCACTCAATGCCACCTGACTGTGCATGAGCACGAAGGCGTCCGTGTCAGCAGTCTGTCAGTCGATCGATCAGAATCACAGAGTAATCGTCGAATCCGGAGGTACTCTCAAGAGGTTGACGAAAGCACGGCGGTTGTGTTGTTGCTTTCAGATAATGACGCGGCAGACGTAAACTATATTTATGTCACCGTAAAACAGCAGACCTGTGATTGTTGAGAGCGCTGACGCCACTGAGACGAATTACGGTGGAAGTTCAACGATGGTTATAATCAAAACACCATGCTCGTAGTAACCGGTGGTATCAGGGCACAGTGTCCTGCACACTAATAGACAAACAACCTCACGACTGCTGATAGACACACGAGCGGCTGAACCTGTTCTTCTGTGTGTACACAACAGTCTCTATGAACACTGGAGTGACCTGCATGTGGGAAGCACCAAGGCGAGGAAACTCAAACCTTTGTTTTCTTTCATCACAGCAGTAGAGAGATGTTTCTTAAGCACATTTTTCTTTTCTTTTTTGAATATCTGTGTCTGTGAGTGTTTTATAGAGCCGGGCGATAATTCAATATGATGATTTATCGTCTTTCAATGGAATCGAATCCTGATGAAATCATAGATCGTGATATACAATGATGTCGTCTGAACTCTCATTTCTCATCAAACTACTGTCTTATTCTGAGTACTCTGTATTTGTGTGCATGCATTTAAAGTCAGTAAATAGCTGGAAATATATATTTACTTTTTCTGTCATGTGCAATTTGCACTGAAGTTCTAAATTAAATGCCAAAATACTTGTTTGTACACAAAAATAGGCTTTACGTTTTGGTAATTTTGGCTATATTGTGATGTTTTTCATTATGGAGATATGAACTGACGAATATCGGAAGAGAAAAAGACGGGTGACTTAAAGTGTCAGATGTGCAATTCAGTTTAATTATCATGGTAAATGGACTTGTACTTGTGTAGCGCCTTTCTAGTCTTCCGAACACTCAAAGCGCTTTAGCACAACATGTCACTAACCCATTAACACCCATTCATATACTGATGGCAGGGGCTACCATGCAAGGTGCCACCGATCACTTAAGCTTCAATTAAAGAAGTTTTAAAGTATGTTTATTGCACCAATTTGCGTCAACAATGTTACTTCTTGAAGTCAAAACTCGGCAAAATCTGAACACAGACATTAGCAACAAGTTGTCTTCAGTATCGAAACACTCCAGTGATAGTTGTTTGTACATGTATGGCTACATTGCAAACAGGAACTGCCAATACAAAATTCGGCATACGTTGTTCCTGAAAAGTATGATCAGTCTTCACTCCTACTGTCGTTGCAGGGACGTACCCCTTTGTGACATCGTCCAACTGCACGGTGGGCGGGGTGTGTACGGGTCTTGGCATGCCGCCTCAAAACGTCGGGAACGTTTACGGGGTCGTCAAGGCGTACACCACCAGAGTGGGCATCGGGGCCTTCCCCTCAGAGCAGAGCAACGTAAGACGCACTTTAACTCACACCACCCATCAATATGCTAACACAGACTTTTTGCTACAAAGACGGGTAGCATATCACAGGAAAAACTCAGGTCACTTAAACCTGCAACCTCACAGGTATCTTTTTGGGGAAAGTGTTCTTCATCCACTGTTAACAGTGTGGTAGAACCATCTACAGGAGGTTTTGCTACTCTGCCACCAATAACCAGCTGTATAAACTTTATTTTTTAATGTTAATAAATCTGTCTATGACACTTATTCATGACTAAAACACGACCATCATCCCGTAGAACGATATGAAGTACTTTACACGTTTACATAATGCATTCACAAGCCAGCAAGCAGCAAAGACTTGAAACTGATGGACTATCTGCGCTCATCTTGTTGTCTTTAGGAGATCGGAGAGCTTCTTCAGACTCGAGGGAAGGAGGTGGGCGTGACCACAGGCAGGAAGAGACGATGTGGTTGGCTGGATCTGGTGCTCATCAAATATGCACACATGATTAATGGCTTCACTGCGTGAGTTCAGCGGGCGTGCGTGCGTGCGTGCGTGCGTGCGTGTGTGCGTGTGTGTTGATTCGTTTAGTTTTACGTGTTTGTGTGTCAAAGTTTCCCTCAAGTGTTTATGACAGCATTTAGTGGAAAATCATTAGAGGTCAAAATGAGAATTTAAATTTTTTTGTTGTACATATATTTGTTAAAGGCACCGAGGTGTATGCAGCTTTTATATCTTAAGTTTGCCAAAACAAAGAAAGAGAAGGTCTTTTTTCAGTTCTTTTTGTGGTTTTATTCACTTATATTAAAGTAAACTGCCAGTCTCCACAGGAAACAGATTTTTATTGTTTTCATAATAAATCTTTGGATGGTGGACAGAGCGTCCTTTTGTCTTCAGTCTTATAACCTTCCTGTCCTCTTTGTGAACCCAGCTTAGCGCTCACCAAACTGGACATACTCGACGTGTTCGCAGAGATCAAAGTGGGCGTCTCGTACAAAGTCGACAACCAAACTATACCTCACTTTCCAGGTGAGCCGCTGTGTGAATGAGTACTTCTTTTGTAAGCGTTTATAAAAAGTAAATGATTAATATAAAAATAAATTTCCAGCATATGTTCTTTATTACTTCCTCCAATCGTTGCTCAGGATTCAGGTAGATAAGATGGCTAACAAGTGTGATCAGTCTCAAAGGAGCTGAATGCTGAACATTTGACTTTAATGACATCCTTAAGCTCTCACATAACCAAGAGTGTGTCTCAAAGGTAAAACGATGTGTTGACACGGAGGCGTCATGAGTAGAAAAGTGGAGTTGATGCATCTCTGCCTTCAGTGGATGTATTGTCACACCTCTCGCTTCCTCTTCTTCTAGTCTGCACTGTTATTTATAGAGAGCTCCATTTCAAGGCAGAAACATATTGATCTGTTGTCATAGCTGTTTTGATTGTGGTCTCCTGTAAAGCTAATGGTGTGATATTAATCCCCCCCCCCCCCTTCTCATTGATTCTGTGCCAGCCAATCAGGAGGTGTTGCAGCATGTGGAGGTCCAGTATGAGACGCTGCCGGGCTGGAACAGCGACACCTCGGCTCTGAGAAGCTTTGAGGAGCTGCCCGAGAACGCCCAGAAATATGTCTGCTACATTGAGCAGCATGTGGGAGTGCCTGGTACGAACACACACACACACACACACTTCCTTTACTTTTAATCCCAATGCTGGTAAAATTGTTGGTGATTCTGACCTCTGTGGCGTTGAACCCAGAATACTTGCACACTGCTTCTCGGATGCTTCAGTGTTGTGATTATGTGTCCTTTATTTGTATTAATCAGCTTACTTTACTGATAAGTGAATCCAGCGTGCAAGGTTCAGGCTGATAGTGAATCTCAAGACCGCCATCTGCTGGACCACAAGGCAAACTACGTCAATAGTCGTGCGCTCATAGACTGTACATTCTGAATCGGAACAGGTTATTACTACAGATCATATATTTGTTTTCAAATACAAAAGTGACGGCACTAATTTAACCGTCTAACCAGGTTTCTAATCATCTCGACAAAAAGGCTGCAGACGGGAAAATCACGCTGTGAGAGCGCTGAAAAGAGAGATAATCACACGGAAATATGTTTTCTCATATTTAAATGATTCTATCCACACAAATGGAAGTCCGACAAGTAAGCCGTGCTTCCAATGTAAGGTCAGAGGAAGTGGAGATATCTGCTGCATGTTTGCGTGGATCACCATTTAATGGGACTCCGTCAACGCCTACCTCTGCTTCTCTGTTTCCTCAGTCAAGTGGATCGGAGTGGGCAAGTCTCGGGAGTCCATGATCCAGCTGTTCTAGACGAAGGGAGGAGAGCAACCCAAGCAAAGAGGAAGCACATCAGCGAATCAACTGTACCCTTCTTCTTCACCTCCCCACCTCCCACACACACACACACACACACACACACAGCCTACCTACCTGTCTCAACTCTCCGACAGAGACATGACCGCCATGTCTGCTCTTAATGCTTTAACACTGTATCTTCAGACTGACCCATATTACAGACCGCACCCCTCACAGACTGACCTCCCAGCATCTCCATCTGGATTTTTAACAGTTTTAAACTTTTAGAATAACAGTTCCCTCTTTTTAATTTGTATATCGTAGCGGCTTATTTCAGACGTGCGAATCACTCGGCGACACCGGCTGCCATCAGGTCTGAAAGCGGACGCGAGGGAACCGACTCGACATGCGCACACACACACACACACACACACACACACAGACACACACACACACACACACACACACACACGGGATCACTTCCTGGAGGAACTGTCCACAGATGTTTGGTTGGTCAAACTGTTCAAGTGTGTTATTGTTAATCTATGCGCCGTGACAGTCTGGTGTAAATCAGTTTTTAACTTTTGCACTTTCGATGCTTTGGACAACACCTGCTTTATGTTTAATTCTGCCAGGTGTACAAAACATCCTGACACCATAAAGGGATCCTTTAATATTGTTAATGTGTCTTTTTGTGTGTGTGTTTTTTTTTTTTTTTTTTTTGTTTTTGTACGTCATCGGACAAAGACTCCTCCTTGTCATTCAACCAAAAGATTTGCTTTCTTGTAGCTCGCGGCTGCTTTTCTACTGAGCGCTGTTGATGAACTGTTGACGCACATCGTCCTGTGAGACAGCTGGTGTTTTTTTCGGTTTAATTTTAGAAGGTGAATGAACGAGTACAGAGATAAAACTGGTATACCTAATCAGTTCAGTTAGCCGACACACTTTACACTCACGTTCTTGTGATTGTTTATCTTATCGATTTATTTGCACTTTCAATACAATGTTGTGTTAAAGTCAGAATCAGAAACCGTTTATTGCCAATGTATGTTGCTCATACAAGGAATCTGTCATGGCGGGTGGTGCATAACATTAAACAATCAACAACAATCAACACAGTGCAAGAAATGGAAACATATTAAAATATGTATAAATACTGTATAAGAAGTGGGTCATATTTCCCCTTTTTTTGGTCCAGTTTTCTGTCATTGTTATAATACAGATCTTTAAGAAAAGGAAAAAATAAGGCTCAAAAAGAAGTCTTCACTGTGTCATCCACATACAGCACCTGCTGGTATAAATGGTGTCTGATGAGGCCTTCAAAGGAAACCTCCCATTACTATGACTTAGGAGTGTTCGTGCACATCATTTAAAAAGCCTTAATTAGCTACTTTTGTGGCGTTTGGAGCTATATATATATATATATATAAAAACAAACTTTAAAGTGGCTGAATCAATTAGTATTATTGGATTCTGTTTAGATGAAACTGCCAGCGATGGTGGCTTTTCATCTGTTCTGCCAACAGTTTGTTGGTGATATTCAACTGTTGGTAATTTAGGCCTTGACAACATCCATTGTTTTTATCCAATCCTGTTTAAACTCAGTTTAGTATACTGCTAGATATGGTCTTTAGATACCTGGATTATGTGAAAGGGTTTCCACAGTGACGATGTATTGCTTTGCCATAAAGTTGGGGGACTAACGAGAGATGTCTTTTATTGTAAAATAGTCCCTAGTTTTAGTCCCTAGTTTGGGGTCAAGCTCCTCAAATAATGGAGCCTACATTTTCCATAACTTTCCATGACGGGGCGCTCACATGATTCGATAAATCAAGATGGTTATATTATTACAGTGAAAGTAAAAATACTGCGCATTGACGATATAACACCATAGCCGTTAGATTTGGATTGAATTACATCAACAGCAGACTTTGGCTGACATGAGTCGTCTGTGTTTCGGTTTTAGGCCAAATTGAATAATATCCGAGCTTTCAGAAAACTCTGAGTTGTAAGTACCACTTGGATGTTGACGTTAACGTTATTCATAACCCTGAAACTATTTACCATAACTTTGATTTTGCACATGAATGTGGCATTAGACCAGACTTTGGGAAGTTCTCCAGAGCCAAACAGAAGACATGCAGCTGTTCACAGCCTCCTCCAGATGTGTAAACTAAACTTTATGTAACATCGACACATACTCTGGTAGTTTAACAGCAGCAACACATCTTAAAATATTCTAATTTCACATTGCCACAAGAAATATTTCCAGATGCAGTTGTCCGCTGGTGGAAAGTCAACCTGTTTTGCAGAAGCAATTAAAACATTAAATGTTTTATTTGGGGCTTTTATTTCAACACAATCAAGTATAAACATGACGACGTGTACGGGTAGAAGTTTTGCTTTCAATAGTCGAAGCATTTAGCCAAAATGTTGATTTGTAACTTTTGAGATAAAATTCATCCGTTGGTCTCTGGTGAGCTAAACATGACCGCTCAGTCTGACACATTTTTCTCAGGACATTGATTAAGAATGTATTAACTCTTTATGCTAGTTTTGTCTTGAGCTTGTGTGTAACTGCTGTTTTCTGAATCCCTGATAAAGTAAGTAATTCCCACACTTACTGATTCATTGACTCACCGTTGCTCCTGTCTGTCTCACTGGAGGTCCGGATGAAAACTGTGAACCAGCATCGTTCATATCTGCTCTACTGAACAGTGTATGTTTGGTGTGACGCTGTCTGTTTCCTAACAGCAGCACTATGTTTCTCTTTTTCTGTGTTTATAATGAGCATTTATGCCTTTACGTGCTCACACTGCCAACCTTTCACTGAATCCTCTTTTACAACCTGAAAGTCTGTGTCCAAGTTCTGTCTTTCGTTTCTTTTTATTTTGAACATTTCCTTTCTTTCCTCACTCGTCAGCCCATTTTATTTGTAAGGGCAGACTTCTATCTTGACATCTGGTTCAGACTAAATGAATGTTTTAGGCTTTGGACGCACAATACACACGTAAAAACCCATAAACACATAAATAATCATGTTAACTCTTTTGTTTAATAAATGCCTTGACATGCAGTTTTCACCTTTAATTTCCAGTAAAGTCATTTTCAGGTTGAGAAAAAAAGAATCACATTTCCTGAAAATGTATCCCGACATGATATTTGGTGTCTTTGGAAACTTTGTCAGCGCTTGACTTTTAATTAAAGTTCTGTGGTTTTTGAACGTTTGGCTGCTCAGCATGAGTTTGTAATATCTGTGGGGTTTAAGAGGTGTAAATACTCACATTTGCTGATTAAACTCCAAAGTGCAATATGTTTCAGCAGTGCATTACTTTTTGTTAAGTATTTCAGATTTCAAAAAACATCTGGTGCGTGATCATTTTTAAATAACATCCCAGAAAAATGACCATACAAAACAAGTTTTTGGCCATAACTGAAGAATCTATTTGCTGATTATGACAACATTTGACCCAATGTCTTCTTGGATAAAATGATGAAGTAATGACGTTTTCTATAAAATATAATCTGGCCATAACTCAACAACAGAGGGGGAGATCGTGACCATATTTCACATTTGGTTGGAGACTACATGGATGACACTAAACTTGGGTGCCTGCCTTGAATCTGTGGTGATTGTATGGATCTTCTGTGTGATTCGACCCCAAGGTACTTCTATGAGTCCACCCTTCTTCCCTTTAGATGACCACCAGGACAGGGGGTCTCTTGTTCCTCTGGTAGTCCAACACAAGCCCATTGGCTTTGCTGATATTGAGCTTCGGGTGCTTGTCGTTGCACCATGTGACGAAGCTCAGGCCTCTGTTCTCCTCTGGAACAAACGGTTTCTCAGTGAAGACGGCGTGTTTCTCGCTGGAAATTATTCACCTCAATCAAACATGTCAACATTTTATAGTAGCCAAACAATGCACTCGATACCTTTTTAATAAATTCCTTCAAAGTCTTCACAACATATATTGTTGAGTCTGGACAGACATGGATGTAATCTAACTTGACTGGTAGGCAGAGGTGAGGCGGTAATTCTAGTTTGTACTAATTATTACTGCAGAAGATATTTTAATGATTCAACCCATCAGAGTTGCGTGTAATCCTTATGTCAAAAAACACATTTGCATACTTCCGGGACTAAAATAGTTCAAATGTATTCCACATTTGTTACTTAACTGTAATTTTTACAGATTATTCCTAAAAGTTTTTACAAAACCCCAATTTTTTAGAACTCTTTCTATGTAAGAATATTTTAGTTTGCCATTAATTCTGTTGCATTTGGGCCTAATACACGCAGCCCGTCAGATAATTAAATAGTTTGATAGAAAGCATTATTCACAGCAGACAGAAACAGACAGCACAGGTGTTACTAATAACATTAACGATGGCTCCTTTCTATCCAAGCACTCCAGTAAGCCATGACAGTGCAGACATGATGCATTATTTCCACCTGTGCTTTTCAGTTTCATCTATTAGCGCTTTATGCCTGGTCAGCAGGTGGGCGGGTCCTTAGGGTTCTGCAGACTGATGTGGAGTATCTAGGAGTATTTTTACATTGTGGTACTGGTACTTTTACATAAGTAAAGGATGTGAGTACTGCTTCTTCCACCACTGATTATTATCCAACATTGTGTCTGCAGCACTGGTTTCCCTCTGCAATGGTAAAATCAATCAAAGAGACATTAAAAACAAGAATAAAGGTATTATCATTAATGTTTTATCTACCAGTGGTGTTTCTAGAAAATAATCCAACGTTTAGTTTTTTGTTGGGGTCGGTATTTGATTGTTTGAGGGACGAGACTGCAGCATCTTGCAATAATGTCACACATATTTAGAGTTTAGTCTTCTTCATGAGCACTAGAGGGAGCCATTTGACTGTAAATGAATGCTAAACACTCCTTAAAAAGAACTAACAACCGGACCTTCTCTCTCCTTAGGAATCTGTTATGGACGATATCCTGAAGCCACAGACACAGAGAAGGTACAGATGTTGTTTTTTATATTAATGCACTGAAAGGCAAACAAACCATACACAGCTGAAATCTCTCTCTCCTCTCTTGTTAGTGTTTGCTATCAATACCGTGACCGCAGGTTGGCCTTCACCACAACCTCACCTGCAGCTCATTTCCCTGCCTTCACCAAGCTTCCTCTTTATTTGACTACATCTGAATGCAGTAACAACCTCTTAAACCCCACAAACATGAAGAATTTGCCCAAATGCGTCCAGCTTTCAGAACCGGACGAGTACAAAAACACCTTGCCTGGTTTTTCCATAAACTGGACATTCATTGCCCAGTTTACCCAAATTCCACAGCTGTCCAGAGTGAGGTCATTCTATTGAACAAACTGTGTCACCTTGAAGCGCACACACACACACACACACACACACTAAAACACACAGTGGCATCTGGCATGACGCCTGGCCTTCCTCTGTATTGTGTGACTATGTTGATGAGAGGCTGGACGCGTCGCAGCAGGCCGAAGGGCACCGCTGCCCCACGATTTGGGTCGAGGTTGCGCTAATTTTGTGACCAACCGCATTCCTCTTTACCCCTCATCATCTATCACCCCCCCCCGCTTGTACCACTCATTCAAACCCTCTCAACCTCCGTACCCCACCACCACCCAACCCCTCCATGCTTTCTATGCACGGCTCCCCCTCCTCCCTCCTTCATTTGAATCCCACAGTGAGGCCTCTTTGTCCAATGGCTGCCGCTGCATTGTGCTGCGAAGGGAAGCAGAGTAAATGGGCAAGCAAATGAGTTGTCTCCTTCAGCCAACAATCTCACACACACACTCTGATGCACTCACCTACATGCACCCACACAAACTTACACGCAAAAGATACATGAACCCATTCAGGAAGCTTCTTTCTCTTCAAACATTTTCTTGGACTGAACTTTTGTCCTTTGTGTGTCCGTGACCTTTTGACCAGGGAACAATGGCCTCTATATAAGAAAGGGAAATGCCACGAGACCAGCCCGAGTGTTCACATGTCAACACGTCCATCACGTCCTCCATCAATCTCTGAGCTCTGCTGCTGCAAAAAATGCTTTTTAATATGATCCTCCTCATTCCAGGGAACTCTTCTTGTAAACCT